GGGGTGGCTGTCCCGGGGCACAGTGGCTGTCCGGGACACAGTGGCTGTCCTGGGATGGCTGTCCCGGGGCACAATGGCTGTCCTGGGGCACAGTGGCCATCTCCAGGGCACAGTGGCCGTCTCCAGGGCACAGTGGCCATCTCTGGGGCACAGTGGCCGTCTCCAGGGCACAGTGGCCATCTCCGGACACAGTGGCTGTCCCAGGGGCTTCTGGTGTGTCCCTCCGATCGCCAGGGACACAGCCTCTTTGCCACCAGCTCCATGCTGCTCGAAAGCAGAAGTTCCCCTCCCACACCCCCCAGACTCCCCTCCCTCCCGCCCTGGCCCCCTGCAAAGCAAGAGTCATGAACACACAAGCCAAGCTTCAGGGCTCCGCGCACCCTGAGTGCCGCACAAGCCCAGAGGAGGGAGAGTGGCCAGCCCGGCCTGCAGGGAGGCTTCACGGGAGGCGGGGTCCCCGCAGAGGCCGGAGGCCGGGAATAGGGGCGCCCGGGGTGGCTGGGCAGAACAGGCGTCGAGATCCACCTGGAGTTCAGGTAGCCCCGGCAGCCAAAGAGGTGTATGGGGTGAGGGCACTTGGGGAGAAGGGGTTGGCCCAGAAAACTCCACGGTGAGGGGGTGGGGGAGGTCGAGAGGCTGCAGCGCCTGGGCCTGCCTCTCCCCCTCAGCGTCTGGGCGAGGCCCGCCCCCGCTCACGCCCCTCTCCTCCCCAGCTGTGGATGATGCCTGCCTTCGGCATACACCCGGAGTTTGAGAACGGGCTGGAGAAGGACTTTTATGGCTACCGGACCTGGTTCACCATCGTCAACTTCGGGCTGCCTCTGGGGGTCTTCTACCGCATGCACTCTGTGGGGGGGCTGGTGGAGGTCTACTTGGGAGCCTGAGGCTGTGCAGGGAGCCCCCGCCACACCCTGAAATGCCAAGGCCGGGGAGAAGGCAACCCAGAATCTCTGAGCAGATGCCTGCCCCCTTCTGGAGGCTCTAGACCAGCCTGGGTTCCCCCTAAAAGCTCCTCTCCCTGGAATCTGACTGAGAGGGGGGTGGCAAGACCCCAGATAGGAACAAGATACCAGCTTCTGATGCCCAGGGCTGGGCACGTGCCTGGCCCTAGGCATCGCCGTAATCAGGACAGCCCAGGGCCACCGAAGGCCCCCCAGCAGTCTGGCAGGGCCAGCCCTCTGACGTGGGCAGTTGGAGAGGGGCACCCGCCCAGTCAGGCCTTGGGGTGACCTGCTGCAGGAAGGGCGCAGGGTCCAGCTCACTCAGCCAGGGGCACCCTGGGCACCAGCAGCTCCAGGCGCCCGCCCCTCCCCCCACGCTACAGTCTCCAGCTGAGCTCGCTAATTAGCTGCCAGGCGGGGCTCAAGCCATAAACCCTGTTTGCTTGATCAACTGCCCCGGCTTCGAGACATTTGTCCCTGGGACAGAGTTGCCACTCTGCCTCTGTGTCTGGCGGGAGGGGGCAGTCCCATCTCTGGGCGTGGGGGCGGGGGCAGCCTCCTGACGGTGGCCAGAGGTCGGGAGAGTGCGGGCCTGCGCCCTCTGTCAGCGCAGGTGACTTTCCGCAGCTGACTCTCCACGGGAGCTGGTGCCAGGCCGGCGGGTCCTCTGAGTCAGCGGGCGCAGAGAGCAGACCCTGGCCACCCACGGGCTCCCTGAGCCAGAGCCAGCAGCATGCTGTGGCCGGGGTGGGGGCTGTCCTGCAGCTGGGGCTCTGCAGGTCCCGGCCCCTCCTGCGAAGCCAGGCCCGGCCAGCGCAGGGCACGGCCAGAGCCCACTCCTTGGTGCTGTGTCGGTGCTGCCTGGAGGGAGCAGAGCCCCCGGGCCCCGCAGTGGCCACAGAGCAGGAGGCCAAGGCCTGGGTGGGAGGGGCCGACGCCAGGAGGCAGAGTCCCCGCGCCCCAGCAGCCGCAAGCAGAGCCAGCTCCTGGGCAGTTTTATTGTGTAAAGAGGCAGATTGTACAGAGCGAAGATTGTACTGACACAGGTGAAGGGGGGACCCAGAGGCCAGGGCCGGAGGAGGGAGGGGGCACCCGGTGCCCTCCCCCAGTCATCCAGGCGATGGGCACGGGCAGGACTGGCCCGGCCCACCCACCGCCCGCCCTCCCTCCCCCACCACTGGATTAGAGGGAGCCAGGTTAGAACCTCTGACCCAGAAGAAGATAGAGGGAGGCCATCACCCCCGACGGGCCCCCTAAAATGCACACGGCCCCCAGTCAGGCTTTTGCCCCCCAGGAGCAGCCTGGCCGCCCCTCCTCCTCCAGAGGGTGTTGGCCTGGACGGGTGGTTTCCAGCTAGCAGTCTGGGAAGGACGCCCCTCTCCTGTGGCCACGCCCCGCTGGGTCGCCACAGGAGGACACAGTGGCCTGCTGCCTCTGGGGGACAGCACAGGAGCGGGGCGGGCACGGATCGTGAGGAACAGGTCGGGGGGAGCCTGGGCGAGGTGAGGGCTCTGGGGGGACTGCGGCCCCTGTGGGGCTCCCAGTGAGCACAGCCAGTCCGCGCCGGGCCCCGAGGCCGCCACCCAGGACGCGACCACCCCGTGGCCCCAGCCCCGA